GTTTCAGTGCAGAACTCTAACAGATTTTCAAAGAAGAGCTAATTCCAATACTATTCAAACTGTTCCACACAATAGAAACAGAAGGAACATTACCAAACTCTTTTTATGAGGCTACAGTTACCCTGATACACAAACCACACAAAGATGCAACAAAGAAAGAGAATTACAGACCAATCTCCCTCATGAACTTTGATGCAAAAATACTCAATAAAATATTGGCAAACCGAATCCAAGAACACAGAAAAAAAATTATCCACCATGATGAAGTCGGCTTCATCCCAGGGATGCAAGGATGGTTCAACATAAGAAAATCTGTCAATGTAATACACCATATAAACAAACTGAAAGAAAAAAAAAAAAAACACATGATCATCTCATTAGATACTGAAAAAGTCTTTGACAAAATCCAACACCTCTTCATGATTAAGGCTCTAGAGAGATCAGGAATACAGGGAACATACCTAAACATAATAAAGGCAATTTACAGCAAGCCAACAGTCACCATCAAATTAAACGGAGAGAAACTCAAAGCGATTCCACTAAAATCAGGAACAAAACAAGGCTGTGTACTCTCCCCATATTTATTCAATATAGTATTTGAAGTTCTAGCTAGAGAAATAAGACAATTAAAGGAGATCAAAGGGATAGAAATCGGAATGTAAAGAAAGAAGTCAAGCTTTCACTATTTGCAGACAATATGATAGTTTACATAAGTGACCTCAAAAATTCTACCTGGGAAATCCTACAGCTGATAAACACCTTCAGTAATGTGGTAGGATACAAGATTAACTCAAAAAAATCAGTAGCTCTTCTATACACAAATGATAAAAGGGCTGAGAAATAAATCAGAAAAACATCACCCTTTACAATAGCTACAAATGATATAAAATACCTTGGGATAACACTAACTAAACAAGTGAAAGACCTGTACGATAAGAACTTTAAGTCTCTGAAGAAAGAAAATGAAGAAGATATCAGAAAGTGGAAAGATCTCCCATGCTCATGGATAGGCAGGATTAACATAGTAAAAATGGCAATCTTACCAAAAGCAATCTACAGATTCAATGCAACCCCCATCAAAATCCCAACACAATTCTTCACAGACTTGGAAAGAACAATAGTCAACTTCATGTGGAAAAACAAAAAACCCAGGGCAGCTAAAAGAATCCTGTTTAATAAAGCAACCTCTGGAGGTATCATCATCCCTGACCTCAAGCTCTACTATAGAGCTATAGTAATAAAAACAGCTTGGTACTGGCATAAAAACCAACATGTAGACCAATGGAATCGAACTGAAGACCTTGACATTAATCCACACACATATGAACATCTGGTTTTTGACAAAGAAGTCAAAACTGTACCATGGAAAAAAGAAAGTATCTTCAACAAATGGTGCTGGCATAACTGGATGTCAACATGTAGAAGATTGCAAATAGATCCATATCTGTCACCATGCACAAAACTCAAGTCCAAGTGGATCAAAGACCTCAACGTAAATCCAGTTACATTGAACTTGATAGAAGAGAAAGTAGGAAATAGTCTTGAATGCATTGGCACAGGAGACCACTTCCTAAATATAACACCAATAGCAGACACTGAGAGCAACAATTAATAAATGGGACCTCTTGAAACTGAGAAGCTCTCTCTCTCTCACACACACACACATACTCAAATAATAAACAGGCCTAGGTGTGGAGGACCAGGAAGCAAGACAGATGGATCACTGTGATTCCAGGGCCAGTCTGGTACTGACTCTTAGGCCAACCAACCACTGTTACACAGAAAGACCCTGTCTCAATATTAGTAACAATAATAAGCTTAAGGATATTTGAGCCAATTGACCAAAGGTGAGTTTTGGAGCAACATGGAAATCTGCTTTTTCACACTGACTTTTTTTTTTCTTTCTTTCTTTCTTTTTTTTTTTTTTGGTTTTTCAAGACAGGGTTTCTCTGTATAGGTTTGCACCTTCCTGAAACTCACTCTGTAGCCCCAGGCTGGCCTTGAACTCACAAAGATCCGCCTGCCTCTGCCTCCCGAGTGCTGGGATTAAAGGCATGCACCACCACTGCCCGGCTTTACAGTGACATTTTTTAACCCAGAAGTTACTTATCAAAATTAAAATTCTTTTAAATGTACAGAAAATTGCAAAATAACATGCCTTTTTCACTAGAGATACTTGATGTATGTAAGATAGTATAAAAATGTTTGTTCAATCACATTTGTCCCATTTTTAAAGTAAGCATGTTGAAGGGTACATCATGAAACTAATGGCTATATATCTAGGGAATTTCCCAATGGAGCTCTCTTCCACTGGTATATATTTTTTAATTTGTCTCATGTGGGTGTCTCTTCTATTCGGTGATTGGGTAGAACAGCAATCTGTATCATGAACGTTCAAGTTGGCTTATTATAACTGTCAGTTAATGGAACGTGAATCCAGCCATTTAATTCCACCAAATTGAAGTTGTCGAATTTCTTGAAAGCTGTGAAAATCATTTCCTACTCTGACTGAGATTTTACTTGAAGTGTAGCCTTCAACAGATTTGTAGTCTGCATAAATATATATATGTCTTCACTGTTATTTTTCTGAACTAGATGTTCACTAAACGAGGCTGATGCCATGAGATTGTTGGTGAGTTTCTCGACTCATCTTGTGAATGGTCACTCCAAACATGGCTTGCACAGTGACAGTGACCAACGGCTTAGGACCCAATCTCCCTTACTGTCCTTCCCACTGCTTAGGATCAGACCAGGACCAGGAGGTGTCTTGTTCAGTATTTTGGTTTTTGTTTTGTTTTGTTTTTCCGAGACTGTTTCTCTGCCTAGCTCTGGCTGTCCTGGAACGTACTTTGTAGACCAGGCTGACCTCGAACTTTAGAGGTCTGCTTGCCTTTGCCTCCAAAGTGCTGGGAATGAAGGCGTGCACCACCATGCCTGGCCAGTGTGGTCGTTTTTAAATTATTCTGGGCTGACACGATTCTGGCTCTCAGGCTTACAACAGGCCCGCCCACTCCCACTGTGACTTGGTGAATCTAGACTTCCTCAGCTGTACATTAATATTTTTGTTTAATCATACTCGGACAATTTTTCTTGTTGGGAACATCTCATTCTGTTGTCACAGCTAGCCCAGATCTCACAGGCTCAAGCTATCTTGTTCCTCAGTCTCAGCAGGTAGGACTAACCCATCAGCTCTCATCGGCTAAGTTATTGCTGTGACTTTAATGGATAAATCCAAAGGAGGAAGACCTCAAAGTTCGAATAGTTTAACATATGGTTGTCTTACAATGGTTGAGCTTGGTACACGGATAGAAAGAGATCACATAAAGCAAGAAACCAACAAATATTGTCTTCTCTAATAAAATCTAGATTTAAAAACAAAAAGGCCAGGCACAGTGGTTCATGCGTGCTTGTAATCCAAGCACCAGGGAAGCTGAAGCTTGACTGTACTGGGTAACACAGTGTCAGGCTAGCCTTGACTACAGACCTTGTCTCAAAAATGAATAAATAAAATAATCATCATAATGGAGCTAAGAGATGGCTCAGAAATTAAGAACACTGGCTGCTCTTTCGAAGGACCAGGATTCAATTCCCAGCACCAACAGAGCAGCTCATGACAATCTGTAACTCCAGTTACAGGGAATCTGATATCCTCTTCTGGCCTCCATGGAAATTCCACTCACAGGGTGCACAGATCTACACTCAGACAAAATACCCATACATATTAAAAACAATAACAACAGTTTTTTAAAATAATAGTAATAATAAGAAAAGAAATAAAAAAAAATGAGGCTGGAGAGATGCAGAATGGTAAGTGCTGCTCTTTCAGAGGAACAGCTGTTTCAGCACGACAACAGGTAGCTCACAGCTACCTGTAAGTCCAGCTTCAGGTGATCATTAATTCACCCTCTTCTGGCCTCTACAGAAAGGCATACGCACACCCAAAGATAGATACATATACATACACACACACACACACACACACACACACCTCTTTTTAAAGATTTTTTTTTTTTTTAATGTTTTGCCTGCATGTACATGGGGAGGCTAGTGCCCCTCCAGGCCAAAAGAGGATGTCCAATCCTCTGGAACTGGAATTACAGATGGTTTTGAACCACCTCATGGATGTTGGGAACTGAACCCAGGCCACCTACAAGAGCAACAAGTGCTCTAAAACAGAGCCATCTCTCCAGCCCCAATAAACTTTGTTTTTAAAGAAAAACCTATACGAGGGACTATTTAACAAAGAGATGAGAAGAGGCAAGAGAGCATAAGATCAAAATACACAATGTGCATGTATGAACATATAATGAAACCCATTGTTTTCCTGCAATTTAACACAACATAATGATTTTAAGTTTTCCTGAAACATGCCCCTCCACAGAGAAAATAATTAAGTTCAAATATAGTATTTTAGAAAAATAAAGCTCCATCCATTCCTTAACAGTGTTCCACTTATTCATTCAATTATGTGTACGTGTTTATGTGTACCACATGAGTGCAAGCGCCTGGTCTCTCCATCCCCTCATAGCTGGAGTTACGGTGTTATGAGCCACTAACAAGAGTGCTGGGAACCAAATTTGGGTCCTCCGGAAGTGCCATGTGAGCTCTTAACCACTAAGCCATCTCTCCAGCCCCTAATTCCAGTTTTTTATAAGCCATCACTTCAGTGCCAAGTTCCCTGTTTTTCACTTGTGAACACTTTATTGTTGGGATAAAGAGAAGGGGTAAGGGATGATTTGCGGTCTGCACAACACACGAATATGCACACCCTGAGCATTTACATTTTTCTCTGACTAAATGTAACATGCCAAAATGATGCATGATAGGTTAAAGAAAAAAAAAACCGAACTAATGGAATGTATCTGTTTCCCAAAGGGGGGGATGCTAAAATCTAATCGTTAATAGTGAGACGAGCTAGAAAGACATGGGTAAGAGGACATGAAAAAGAAGTCCCTCATCCTGAGACTTTTCCTGTCCATCAGATTCTACCCACTGCTCACCAGTAAGCGCCAGGATGGCCAGATCCGTGGGGCGATGGGTCGCCAAGCCGGACTCCAACGGCGGAAATCCTTTTCCTTCTGGAAAAGCAAAATTTTTGTAAGATTACCTTAAAGGCGTTCGAGGCAGCAAGGGCTATAGTCGAAGGCACAGGGAGAGAGAGCAAGGCACATTTAAGCGAAATGGCCCCCGCCGGGACCGGAGGACCGTTGGGTCCGAGCCTCTGAGAGGCGACGGGGTGAAACGCGCGGCTGGGGACGAGCGGGGTCCCCACGAAGGCCACCCCCGGGCCTCACTCCCCACCTCCGCCACCGCCCATCCCCTCACCCGGCCTCGCAGAGCCCGTCCAAGCCAGCCCGCCACCAGGGAGAAAAGAGAACGGGGCCGCGCGAAGCCACACCGGAAGAGACGGAGACAAGCTGAGGTTCACTTCCGCTTGCCGAGTCGGAACCTTTCCGGAATAGAAATTTCGGTTCCCTGGACCTGGGTGCAGATTGATTCCGAAGCGGGGGTTAAAAGCCGGGTCAAAGGACGAGACTGAAGTTAGAGCAAGATTTCTGGCGCAGACGGCCTTTCCCGATGACCAATCCCACAGCGAGGTTAAACACAGACCGAGAAGTACGGGGTCTCAGGAGGCTCACAAACCTTTCCTCCTGCCTCCTCTTGGTTCCTGTTCTTCCCTTGTTGACAAACTGCCAGATCTGTGACCCGCCTTATCGCCTGCACTCAACCACAGCAGTCTTTAGGCTTTTATTTGTATTGTCTGGACCTCATGCTAAATTCTAACCGTTGATGGTAAGACAGGCCAGAGGGACAGGGAAAATGAAGAAGACATGAAAAAGGAAAGAAACTCCTCCCCCTGAGACTTCCTGATGAAAATTTTAAAATGTGAACACAGGTGATAAACAGACAAAAATTGCTTACAAACAAAAGTTGTGTTTTCCTAAAGACATCTCAAACCAATATGTTAAAAACAAATTTAAAAACAAAATATCAGAGCCAGACATGACACATGCTGCAATCACAGCACCCCGAGGCAGAAGCAGACACTCTCCCTGAGTTCGAGGTCAGTGTGATCTACATAGCAAGTCCAGGCTAGTCGGGGCTACACAATGAGAACCCGTCTGAAATAAAAATGAAAATAATATGGCAACAAAGAAATTGTACTTACTTAGGACCAAAATATCTATAATCTTGAATTTTACCATATTAGCACTCCTCTCAACCCTAAATCTGAACAAGGCGTTTAAAACCACCGTACAAATTGCAAATAGAAATTCATTAAGAAGAGTTAGTAAACCAGCTCATATATTGTACTAAATTTTTAAATGTTCTTTAAATTTTCAGCTTTGCTTAATATTTAAACCTTATTATAAATCACATCCTTTGCAAAACAGAAAGCCACAAGATCATTCATATATGCACTGATATATCTATGTGCATGAAGACACACCTATATGAAACACCCTGTAGAAGTCCACACCTGTGTCTTGGGATTGTGTACTGTCTTTTTCCTATATAACTTTCTGTCCAAATGTCAGTTGTGAGGGACACATCTAAACTGCCACTCTCCACAGCCTGTGGAGTTTCCATATATTTTTTAATTTTATTAAAATACTACATTATTACTTCTACTCCCTCTCTTCTCTCCAAACCCTCCAATGTCCTTCTAATTTTTCTGAGATGGTGTCTCACTATGTAGTCCTGGTTGGCCTGGAATTCTCTGTGTAAGCCAGTCTGGTCTAGAACACCCCTAGAACTTCCTACACCAAAGGTATTCAGCCATATCCCAGTCCTTTTCTTTCAGTTGTTGTTGTTGTTTGTTGTTGTTGTCGTTGTTGTTTTGGTTTCTTGGTTTTCTTTTTTGTTTTTGTTGTTGTTTTGTTTGTTTTTTGCCTTCTGGGATCATGGAAATGGGAGGCCCACAGGACTGTGTTGCTAAATGATGAGGTCAATGCATTTTTATATCAGAATAAGAAGGCAACACCAAACCTCCATAGTAGGCTTTGTTTTGTTTTAATTTTGACACATTGTTTTACATGATATATTTCCCAATTTTTAAGGGAAAAGATTTAAAAGTTTTCACAGCCATGTGTTTTTAACACTAGCTACAGATCAATGGGAACTGACACTTTGAAATGGCTGACTTGGAAAGTTCACGGGAGTGTGCAGCAGCCCAGGGAAAACTTGGAAAAGTACAGATTCAAACAGTACCCAAATAATAGAGTGCCAGGTACTAGCCAGGCTGCTGCCAGCAGGCAGCTACAACAGCTGGGAGCAGAGAGAAGTCAGACTTCTTAGGTAGGAGGCTGGAGATGGGGGCTCTGTTGGGTCTTAATGCCTGCTCTTCCTGCCTGGCATCTCCAATCCTGTTTTTCCGCAGAGATAAAGTGTGCTTTCCCTTCTCAACACTCCTGTGCTCCATGTCTGTTGTATGCTTCTGTTTCTGGCCCATTGAGTACAGTTACACTTAACATAGAGAGGGTAAGGGAAAGGAGCAGGCTGATGCCAGCCCTTTCTAAGTTCTGTCAGCTCTAGCACCATAGTTTAATAATTTATTTACTTTTATTTCATGTGCATAGGTGTTCTGCCTGCACCATAGTTTAATAATTTATTTACTTTTATTTCATGTCTGTATGAGGGTGTCAGAGCTTAGAATTACAGACAGTTGTGTGCTGCCACGTGGGTGCTGGGAATTGAAACTGGGTCCTCTGGAAGAGCAGTCAGTGCTCTTAACCACTGAACCATCTCTCCAGCCCCAGCACCATAGTTTTTAAAGATTGATATTTTTAATGTGTATAAGTGTCTGCATGTCTTTTATGTGTACCATTTGCATGCCTGATGTCCTAGGAGGCCAGAAGAGGGTATTAGATTTCCTGGAACTAGAGCTATGTTTCTGAGCAAGCAGGTGGGTGCTGGGAACTGAACCCAGGTCCTCTGCAAGAGCAGCAAGTACTCTTAACTACTGAGCGAAGTCTCTGACCCTAGCAGCATAACATTTCCTTGTCCTTCAAGGCCAACTAGGTTTCAGGGATGTCTATTAACTATGGAGAGTCACCTGTTTTCTTGCTCAAAGAGGCCATGGGGGCCCCACCTAGTGAACTCTAACCAGTATCCAGTCTACAAGGAGCTCAATACAGAGGAAAGTGTTCTCCATACTTCTAAGCAGAGCCATGGTCAAGCGAGACTTTTGAGTTATTCTCTCATAGATGGAACAACTGGTAAAAGAAAGGCTAGAGAGAGGTTCCTCTCAGGCTCAAGTGACCCCTAAGGACTAGATTTTCAACTGGCCCTAACGGTAAAAAGGACATGATTAATTTTGGCCACCTGCATGGTTTTAAACACCCAGCAGGAAAGTGTAAACAAAGACTAAAATTATCATTATATTTTCTCATGATCTAAGGCAGTGGTTCTCAGCCTTCCTACTGTTCCAACCCTTCTAATACAGTTCCTCATGTTTTGGGGACCCTAAGCATGAAATTATTTTCATCACTACTTCATAACTGTAATTTTGCTAGCGTTATGAATCACAATGTAAATATCTGTGTTTTCTGATGCTCTTAAGCAACTCAGAAGGGGCACGACCCACAGGTTGAGAACCTATGGTCTAAGGGCTCATACTCTCTAGACATTAACCTTAAACCTATATGGGATGTCACTATCACTGGTGATTTTCTTCTTGATAAAAGAAAAATGCTGCCCACATACAAGACTTTATACATGTCACTGCAGCCAAGAAAGGCAAGACCACTTTTTAACCTAAAAATTAAATGATGGCTTTCTCATCTCTCCCTCTCTAGAAGCCATCTGGGAGGGAACTCATACTGCTTCTCACCACTCCACAGTTATTAAAGGGCCTGAAAGCAGATTCTGAGTTCAGCACTCTGGAAAACAGCCTTAGGAGCCAAAGAAAATTGAGGAGAAGTCCAATAGATGGGTGCCCTGTAGGCCCATCAAAATACTTTAATGGACTTTGATTTAGGCACTTAAAAATATCCTCTGTGCCTTCTCCAGAGTCCCTGCCTAGGACCTGTAACACTATCTCTCTTGCCTTCACTCCTCTTTCACATCTTTTTCCAAGGACCAGTCAAGAACCTCCTTATCTTCATACACCTGGCTGTTAGACAAACGAAACTACAGGTGCACTTACAGGGCCTTTAGATAGGCCTACTGGGGGTTACCCTGCCACACCTGGAGACCCCATCCAGCTGGAAAAAGCCAGGTAAGTCTTTGCTTCTGCTCCATAACAGTAGCTAGGGCTACCTCTTCATGGGAGGGGGAGTTGATTTTTTTTTAACATTGTATGACAAAGAGGTGGGAATTTTAAGAAATGTATTTCTTCTATAAAAGTTACTCAGCCCAAGAGCATACATTTCCTCAAACTCCCCCTTCCTCTTTGCACTGATAAGCCAATTATATCATGGTGTGAAGTCCAGCTCCCAGAAATAGGATGAGATGCAGTCATCCCATATTAGAGTTTAAAAACAGGCCATTTTGGCCAAGTGTGCACACTAGTGTAGTCTGAACTCTGACACACCATTTTTGCAAAAAGAAACAGTCTCTAAATTACTTTCACTTCATTCATGTGTTCCTTTGTGTAACACTGACATTATTCTCTTCTCAACATTACGATGTTACCGTAAGTTCAGATCACTCACACTATAATTTTAAAATGGCGCCATTGTTCGAACTTGCTTCCCTCTCTTATTCTTTTAACTTTTATATTTATGTATGTAGAGTGTGCATGCCACAACATGTTTGCATGCTTGTGGAAGTCAGAAGGCAACTTGCAGGAGTCAGTTCTCTCCTACCCAGTGCCTTTACCCACTTAGCCATCTTGTTGGCCCCCACTTCCCTGTCCTCCTCTTCTTTCCTTTTTAAAAGAACATTTACTTTTTTCATTTGTATTTATGTATGTGGGACTGCATTACACATACACATACCCACATGTATGCATACATGGGTGCAGGTGCCTGGGGAGGCCAAAAAAGAGCATTAGATCCCCCTGGAACCAGTTGTAGGCAACTATGAGCCACCAAACATGGGTGCTGGGAACCAAACCCAGGTCCTCTTCAAGAGCAATAAGTGCTCTTGGATCATGAGCCACCTTCTCAGGGAACATTGTGAAAGAAGGAACAGAGAGATTGTAAGAGCCAGAGAACCAGGGAGTTTGCTTTGAGACTGTGCCTCCTGGTAATGTCAGAAGCTACATCCATAAAATCTTACCAACACAACTGCCCAAATGTGAGCTGAACAGGGATGACACCAATGGACATGCCAAAGTGGACAGGGAAGAGCCCACTAGGCCTCAACCCTATACGAAAAAACTTACAGGCAGCTGAGGAGAGCTGGGAGTGGGAGAGGTGGTCCTCCCCAGGGAAGATCACATCAATTGGTTGTTCAGTGCAAAACAGTGAGCTCTGATACGTACATACATACAACTAACGGTTTGAACAAGTTATATTTAGGAATATATGTATATACATATATGCATGGAATAACAGTAAAAAAAAGAGGCCATGACTTTGAGGGAGAATGAGGAGGGTGTATATGGGAGGGTTTGGAGGGAGAAATGGGAAGGGAGAAATGCTCTAATTATATTG